GCCGCAGCGCTGGAGGAGCGGGGCGGGGGGCGCGCCCTGCTCCATGGGCACCCATTGCGCTATGGATAGCTCCTGACCTGTGGATACATCCTGAGCTATGGACCCTGTGGATACCTCCTGAGCCATGAATACCTCCTGCCTTATGGACACACCCTGCCCCCGGACAGCCCCTGCCCCACAGATACCCCCTGCCCCACGGACACCGCCTGCCCCACGGACACCCCTCCAGCCCCCCAGACATTTCCAGCCTCACAGATACCTCATGGGGATCCCTATGGATCCCCACAGGCATCCCCTGACCCACAGACCCGCCAGCCAGAGACCACCTCATGGAATCCCCCGCGCCAGCCCCACGGACACCCCTTCCTGCCCGACAGACACCCCTTGCCCACGGACACCCCAGGCCAGACACTGTCCCCACAGCCCCCCATCCTGCCCCTCAGCCCCCCTCGGTGAAGGACAGGCGGACACRGCGGCTGGAAGGCGAGCCCGGCACTGGCCGCCGGCCCCGCGTCACCAGAGCGTCACCTTTATTCGTTCGGACTGGGGGCTCATTACAATAAAAACGACACGGGGGCCGACGTGGCCTCGTCCCGAGGGCTGCTCGTGGGGTGCGCGGTGCAGCGGAGGCCGCGGGAGCGCGCGTGGCCTCGGGCGCCCCGTCCGCACGGCGCCGTCGGAGCCGCCTCCCTCCGCGCGGCTCTCCCGGCACGGCCGCCTCACTCGCGCGCAGCCGCTCTTGCCCTCCACGACTCGCGCGGCGGAGGCCGCCCGGCCTCCTGCAGCAGAGCGGGGCAGAAAGCAGCGTGAGGGGCGGGAAAGGATCTGGAGAGGGACGGGAAAGGACACGGAGAGGGACGGGAAAGGACACGGAGAGGGATGGGAACGCTGCAGGATGGAGGCTCCGTGGCGAGGCTCCGCGCAGCTGGCGGCGCTGGCCACAACACAGCTCCGGTCAGTGCAGTTTCTGCTTTATTCCGTAGGATATATTTATATATGTAGAGCGGCCCGGGGGGCGGCGGGTCCTGCCTGCGGCCCCCTCCCCAGCGGAGCCCAGGGCAGACGGGGCCGAGGGGCAGCCGAAGGGGACACAGTCCCGGCAATGGGGGGGCCGAGGAGGGGCGAGGACATGCGGGCAGGGGCAGGGCAGGCGCCGGGGTTGGAGGGGRGGGTCTGTGAAACGTCGACGAGTAGAAAACGGAGGAGCTGTGAGCGGGCCGCGAGCCCCCCGGCCCGGCGTGCCCCCCATCACAGTGAGCGACGGACTCCCCGTCCAGTCCGCGTAGAAAAGCGGAGCGCGTCCCCAGCGCCGCCGCGGCGCCCGCCCCGTCACAGCCGCGTCTGCGCCTCGGGGATGTAGATCTCGATGCTGTCGGCGCTCTCGGTGGCCGAGTTCTGGCGGAAGGAGGCGGCGCGCTTGGCGGCCAGGAGGCGCTTGCGGGCCTCCTGCCGCTGCCGGTCCACCGAGTCCAGCGAGCGCTCCTTCACCGGGTGCACCTTGGAGCGCGGCGGCTTCTTTGGTATGGGGGGAGGCACCTTCTTCTCCTCCTGCGCCAAGCGGGTGGCCTCAGGGCTCTGCGGGTGCCCGTGCAGACCGCGCCGCGCGGAGACCCTCTGCGACCGCGCTCGGACACCACCACGGAGGACAGGCCCCTTTCCCAGGCCCGTTTTGCTTTGTTTTCCATGCATTTGCTAAAAACACCTGCTCGTTTCGCTGGAGATAGCTCAGCAGCAGCAATGGAGAAGATCAAGGGCAGTAGGAGCGCGAACGCCTGCGCTCCCCATCCAGACCGGCACTGCCTCAAACTCTGTGCTCAGTATTCCCATATTATCCCAGAATTCCCATATTATCCCAGACGAGCCCTCCTCTCCRTGCTCGGTATTCCAATATTACCCTCCCTTCTCTTGCAATCTGCCCCTTGCGTCCCTCCGTGGAGCAATCGGCACCGCGGGCAGGGACGGCTCTGCAGCGAGCGCATCCCCGCACTCACCTTGGTCTCAATGATCTTCCACCCGTTGGCCTTGAGCTGCTGGAGCTCTGCAAACTTCATGCTCACATCCTCGATGGAGAGCTGCAGGAGGTCCCAGAAGCCGGCCAGGTCTTGGAAGGTGGGCACGGGGAACGCGTTGGGGTCCTGCGGGAGGAGGACACAGCACGTCGGCCCCCACCGCGCCGCAGGACACCGAGGACGGCGCTGCGGCGGCCGGGCACTCACCATGTTCTGCTGGCAGAGCCGGTAAAACTGCTGCACCTTCTGGGACATGAGGAGCTGGGCGCTGCCCACGGCGCTGCGGATCTTCTCCAGGACTGGCGAGGCCGCAGGGAAAGCACGAGGTCAGCTCCTCCCCCCATCTTTCTCCCCAGTTTGCTCCATCTTTTCGGAGCAGCTGGGCACCAAAAACCCCTCTCCAGCCCCCTTCTCTGTGGCAGAGCCTGGAGAGGTCAGAGAACCCACCCAGAACCCTGTGCTGGGTCTCCGAGCTGCTCCAGAACCTGCCCATCCCAGAGGATCTCTGGGTATCCCACCAACCCCAACCTCTTTAGGTTGTGGAGCTGCTGGAGTGAGTCCAGCGCAGGGCTACGAGGATGATGAGGGGCCTGGAACATCTGCCCTATGAGCAAAGGCTGAGGGAGCTGGGCCTGTTCAGCCTGGAGAAGAGAAGGCTGAGGGGGACCTGATCAGTGWCTATAGACTGATATAGATGACGAGGATGTGGTGGCCTCTTTTCAGTGGTGGCCAGCGACAGAACTAGAGGAAATGGCCACAAACTGAAGCACCAAAAGTTCCATGGGAACTTGAGGAAAAATGTCTTGGCAGTGAGGGTGCCAGAGCCCTGGAACAGGATGCCCATAGAGGCTGTGGAGTCTCCTTTTCTGGAGATCTCCAAACCTGCTTGGATGCAGCCTGTGCCCCGTGCTCTGGGTGACCCTGCRTGTGCAGGGGGTTGGACTGGATGGTCCCTAGAGGTCCCTTCCAACCTTAAGGCTTCTATGATTCTATGATTTAGCCCTCCTCTCCAGGCCCAGCAGCATCAGGTACAGGGGAGATGCTCCAAGGCAGCCACCCACGGGGCCATCCCGAGCGCCCACAGCGCCCCAACTCACTCTCCTCCGGCAGGTCGTAGTCCTCGGCCTCCCTCTCCATCTGCTGGCACCAGCCCTCCATCTTCTCCACCTCGGCCTGCAGCAGCTTGATGAACCATTCCCCATCCCGGTGGCAGGGGGAGGCCCTGCCGGAGTCGGGGAGGCTGCGGGAGCCGCGCTCCCTCCAGGAGTCGCGGCGCGGCACCTCCACGGCGTCGTACTGCATCTGGTAGTCCTCCCGGTAGGCCCACTGGCCCTGCGTGTGCACCGTCTTGTACACCGCGTACTGCCGGCTGGACTCGGGCTCCGAGGAGTGCCGCTGGAAGGGCCGCCCGAACTGCAGCGCCTTGTCCTCGGTGGCCACGGCCAGCCCGGCAAAGCCCTCCAGCTCCAGGTCGGCCTGMACGCCGGCCGTCACGCTGTTGGAGCGCTTGAAGCGTGCCCGCCTGCCGAGGGGAGAGCAGCAGCGCGTGGGGACCCTCGCGGGGACACTGGGGACACGCCAGCGGAGGGAGGGCAGGGAGGGTGACCGTGGGGCAGGATGGGGTTGGGGACGTAGACATGGAGCCCCCGCGTGGCTCTACGCATTCCACACTGCGCTCCCAGYCCATTCCCCGGGGAATTCCCTTGCCATCCCAATGGCAAGGATGAACAAGGAACATGGTCCCACGTCAAGGCAAGAAGATGCTCGGGGGCCATGCCAAGGGTTTCCTCCAAACCTTGACCAGCTCCAAGCCCTAGCCCAGGGGGAACAGGACCCTGCAGGGATGGGGCCCAACCAGCTGCGTCTCACCAGCTTTTACCTCTTGTCTTCCTCCACTTGCACCCCGATGGAGTGGAATTCYCGCTGGCTCCGGCTCTCCGTGTCCGAATCGGAGATGGCCTCCACCTGCCACGGGCACCAGAGGGACAAGGGGTTGGGAAGGGCACTCGGAGGCGCAGCGAGCACGGGCGCCTCGTGCGCTCGTGTTTGCATGAACAGAACTGGCCACGCAAAGGCCACCGCGCACCATGGAGCCAGGCCGCCCCTGCTGCTCCCTGCCCTCTCAGCCCCGAGGTCTCCCACATTCCCTGGATACTCCGGCACCCGTTGGCTTGGAGCATCCCCAGAGCATTCCCTGGTGCAGGACAYGCAGCCAGGAGGCCCCCGCACCCGATTGCCCCCGGGACGGAGGGCAGGAGGAGCAGGACGCACCTGGACGCCGATGGAGGGACGCCACTTGCGCTGCCGAGCCAAGCTCCTGAGCTCCTCCCGGCCGGGGATGGCCTTGATGATGAGCGTGGAGGGCTTGGGGGACGTGCGGGGCTGGACCGGGGGCAGCTCCAGCGACACGGCCGCCGCCTTGGAGCTCTCCAGGCTCTCGGCCGAATTGCAGCGGGCCGCGGCGTCCTTGGACCACGCGGCGCCGCGGGCCACCTCGGCGGGCAGGTAGCTCTCGTGCGCGGACTCGGTGCTGCTCTGCGCCGTGACGGAGATGAGCGGCTTGGCTTTGGTTCCTGGAGGGATGGGAGGTGGAGCTTTTCTGTAACTGAAGGCTGTTGTGGGAGAGGCGCATGGTGAAAAGTCGCAGGAAACAAGAGACTCTTCCCCC